ATTATTGATATTTTTGAAGATATAAGCTCATCTTGATGTTACACTCATCAAGAGCTTTCATTTGAGTACCCACATACATTTTTCATATATTTATATATATTACATATAATATAAATATATGAATAAATTGATGTGGGTACTCAAATGAAAGGTTTCGATGAGTGTAATGTTGGGGTGAGCTGATATCTTTAAAAATGTCAATAGTTTTCAAAATCCAAGGTCATTTCTTAATTATTGATATTTTTAAAGATATAAGCTCATCTTGATGTTACACTCATCAAGAGCTTTCATTTGAGTACCCACATGCATTTTTGATATATTTTTCATATAAACATATATGTAATATATCTAAATATATGAAAAAATTGATGTGGGTACTCAAATGAAAGGTCTCGATAAGTGTAACATCGGGATGAGCTTATATCTTTAAAAATATCAATAGTTCACAAAATACAAGGTAATTTCTTAATTATGGTCATTAATATATGGCTGTATTTTTGTGTATATCTATCTATACATTTTATTATAGTATTTTTTTTCCTGACCTTAGAATTTTGGAGCCTCTAAACCATAGCAGAGTTTTTTTGTTTTTTATTATTTTGCTTTCTATATTTTATTTTAATGAATTTTATTGTGAAAAATGAAATTATAAGGCGTGCACTTTGGATTTTCTTATCTTTTTATATATTATCCTCAAAATCCCAACTTTGAAACTTATAATAACGATTTTGCTCATTAAAATTAATAAATTGACCAAAATTAGTAGTTTATTTGCTTCAGAGAAGTAAATTACACAAACCTGTTGAAAATTAGCATAAACAGACAGTTAATTTTATTTTTAATTAACGTTTTTGCGTTAAAACCGGCAGAAAACAGCTGTTACTAAGCGGCCATTTTTTTACCAAGCGGCGCGTTGACAAATTTGAATACTTTTAAATTTTCAGCGGGGTTTTTTGAATGCCTTTTCGAAACACAGGGTGTAAAATCAGTATTAAAAAAAATCCTCCTATGAGAAATTCGATACGAATTTATAAAAATTCATAAAATATTAAATCGAGTGTCACGCGACGCATTAACTCAAATAAAATTGTCGCAATTATAATAAAATAAATGATAAAGTACATTATTCCAGGGTAAAAGATTTTTTGTAAAATTATCTCGTAAACGCAATATTTATGTAAAAAAACAAATAATTAATTAATTAAAAAAATATTAACAATTATGGGAGAATGATTATGAGTAAAGCTAGCAATGTATTAAAGCGTTAACTAATAAAAAATCATTTAAGACGTATGAGTGACTAACTAAATAATTATACATCGTTAATAAATAGAAGCGTAAAGTGAGATTTCATTTGCAATTGTATCGTAAACCGGAAATAATAATTAAATAAAAATAATTGAAGAAAAAATATTTAAAACGTATAACTTTTAAAAAGTATAATGCAACTTTGACAGTAAATAAATTAATAATATTTATTATTGTATTAATTAATAAAAAAAAAATAAATAAATAAGAAAACAGCTTTATTAAATAAAAGTAACTACTGTTAACTAGTAAGGAAAAATCTAATGAAGTAATGAGGCTTGCTATTGTAAACTTGATTATTCGGCTGAACGAGTGCTTTATCTCATATTCAATAAATAAATAAAATTGTATTCAAATTTATTGTAATCTACACATCACACACAACACACATATCTTTAATTAATTTTTTTTTTTTATATTTGTCAATTTTATCGACATATCGACTATACTTTTGAGGTTTTAAATTTTTAATATACATTTGGAAATTAAAAATTGGTGAGAAAATATTTAAAAATTATTCTAGGCTGAGAAAAAATAATATTAAATCGAGTGTCACGCGACGCATTAACTCAAATAAAATTGTCGCAATTATAATAAAATAAATGATAAAGTACATTATTCCAGGGTAAAAGATTTTTTGTAAAATTATCTCGTAAACGCAATATTTATGTAAAAAAACAAATAATTAATTAATTAAAAAAATATTAACAATTATGGGAGAATGATTATGAGTAAAGCTAGCAATGTATTAAAGCGTTAACTAATAAAAAATCATTTAAGACGTATGAGTGACTAACTAAATAATTATACATCGTTAATAAATAGAAGCGTAAAGTGAGATTTCATTTGCAATTGTATCGTAAACCGGAAATAATAATTAAATAAAAATAATTGAAGAAAAAATATTTAAAACGTATAACTTTTAAAAAGTATAATGCAACTTTGACAGTAAATAAATTAATAATATTTATTATTGTATTAATTAATAAAAAAAAAATAAATAAATAAGAAAACAGCTTTATTAAATAAAAGTAACTACTGTTAACTAGTAAGGAAAAATCTAATGAAGTAATGAGGCTTGCTATTGTAAACTTGATTATTCGGCTGAACGAGTGCTTTATCTCATATTCAATAAATAAATAAAATTGTATTCAAATTTATTGTAATCTACACATCACACACAACACACATATCTTTAATTAATTTTTTTTTTTTATATTTGTCAATTTTATCGACATATCGACTATACTTTTGAGGTTTTAAATTTTTAATATACATTTGGAAATTAAAAATTGGTGAGAAAATATTTAAAAATTATTCTAGGCTGAGAAAAAATTTATTTTGAAAAAAAAAAAAAATGAATATTTTTGTGAGACTAAATTAATTTGTTGGAAATTTTAAACAATTTTATTTCTTAGCTGAATTTTTTGTTGAAAAAAATAATTTTAATAAAAATTTTCAAGTTTTCTATTAAAAATTATTTTTTTTCCAACAAGAAAGTTACTGAGAAAAAAAATTTTGTTTTTTTAGTTAAAAAATAAAATTAAAAAAAATTTTCAATAAATTAAATTCTTCTAAAAATGCCCATATTTAAAAAATAAATTTTTTCTGGTTAGCGCAGTGAGAAAATATTTAAAAATTATTCTAGACTGAGAAAAAATTTATTTTGAAAAATAAAAATGAATTTTTTTGTGAGATTAAATTAATTTGTTGGATATTTTAAACAATCTTATTTCTTAGCTGACGAAATAAATTTTTTTGTTGAAAAAAATTTTCCTAGATTTGGGAAAAAACAATTTTGGATAAAAAATCTCAAGTTGTTTATTAAAAATTATTTTTTTCCAAATTTAGAAAATTTTTTTCTAACAAGAAAATTACTGTGAGAAAAATTTTTATTTCTTCAGCTAAGTAAAAGAAATTTTTGAAAATTTCCAACAAATTAAACTCTTAAAAAAATGCCTATATTTTTAAAAATAAATTTTTTCTCAGTGTAGGTCATAATTGTTGAAAAAAAAAATTATTATCCATTTATTAACATTAAAAATAATTGCTGTACGATTAAATTATCTGTCCTCTTAAGTAAAATGTTAACAAAGTTGCTAAAATTAAAATTGTGATACACGACTATTAACCCAAAAACGGGGTCCAATAATCCTCGGAGCATATATATTTTATAATTGCAAAAAGAGGACACGATATATAGCACCTTTTTTTAACATATTAATAATTAATAATTAGAATAGTTGTTGGCTAATTTATAGTTATAATTACTTGATATTTTTTATTAATGTTAATTATTATTATAAATAATTTTATTTTGAATTTTTTGCTCAAAATTAAAGACACTTTGTTTTGTTATGTCTTATTGTTAAAAATTAATTTTTTAAATTATAATTTATAATTAATTAACATTTAATCATAAAAATTAATAATCATTGTAAACGTGAGCCAAAATATATGTTTAGTCTTAAAACTAAAAACAATAAAAAAGAGGAACTGTAAAATGAAAGGTTAATTAATAATTACATAATTATCATTATAAATAAAAATGTATACATCTATAAATATATAAATATATATTAATTCAATTTTTAGATTATATCGAGCTTTTAATAATTAGAAATAATCAGTCCGCAATTTTTTTTCTTAAATAAACAACTTCAACAAATATTTTATTTACTCTGTTATTTTTATTATTTCATTATTATTATAATGATTAATTATATAAATTGTTTGAACTGTATATAATCACACACATTATTTAAATAAATAAAATACGTACTAATCTCTCTACGCGGGACGGCCCGCTAAAGGCGGGAACAAAACTTAAAATCTAATCACTTAATAACTCGCGTATTTATTTGCGATAGAATAAATAAATAATAATTATTAATTAAAGCTCGATAAGTTTGTAAGGGCAATAATAAACATGTAAATTTATGAGTAAAGTGTATTTGATTAAGCATAAAAGACAAATTTTTTTAGATATCGCACTATAATATCCTATTTAATTACATTAATTATTATGATTATTATTATTATTATTATGTAAGGAAAATACAATCGTATAGATTTATTGTAATTATAATCGCATTTTTTCTTCTTCATATATTTCTTAATCTAAAACGGATTATTAATAATTAAAAATTTAATAATTATTGACAACCGTGGACGTTTATTATTAAAACAATCACAGGGTTAAAACGGGCCACTGTTAATTATTACATTAATCACAAATAGGCGACCATTTTTTGTCAAAAATGAAGAAGAAAAAATTTTAGATGCATATTATTATTATTAATATTAATATTATTATTATAATTGGATTTAATAATAATTTAGTGAATATTAATGTAATGTTTGTTTTCGTTATTAAAGTGTGTATATAGCAATACAATCCATGTATATTGTCTTTTTAAATTGAATAATGCCTTTACTTGAAAAATAATTCAACAACTTATTATGTTTATTATTATTATTGTTATGTACGTTTTCAGTTATAATTTGTCATTAATATTTCACAAAGTCTTTCGAATGGTATATAATTTTTATAGTATTAAATAATTAATATTAATGTGCAAGTGTTCAAATAAATAAAGAAAAAATGCATGATTTCGTTTAATAATTATTTTTTATTTAATTTATTTTTAAATTATATTTACTGTCTTGTTTAAAAATTCTTACACGTAAAATTACAAAAACCTAATAAAATTTTTGTTTTCATGCAAGATTAATTTTTTCAACTCTATATTTGTAAAATAGGACCATAGGTCTCTGATAAAAGTCCACGGAAGTTCCAAATCCCATAATATTACTTCAACAAATTTTTCGATTTCTTTCAAGTATGTTATTCTGCGCCGAACCTTGGACAATTTATAAAAAATCATTCCTCCGTATAACGGATACGCAGTGTTTAATTTTTCTTCATCGATAACTTTATCCAAGCCCGCGAAATTCAAGCGAATCGCTAAATTATGAAAACTCATGTGTAAAACGTCAAAAAAAGTGATATTACTCACACCGACTTTGTTAATTTTTATTTTTTCGAGCTCTTTCAGACACGTTTCACTCAAATAATCGAAGCCTCTTTCAACACTTCGTCGATTTCGCTCACAAACTGGTAAACCGGCTGATATGAATTTGACAATGTGTCGTTTGAGGATGGTTTTTTGGATTATAGTTCTAAGAGACGTTTCACCATCAATAGCAAGTTGACCCTCTGAATCTTGAGCGTTAACGTCAACGCCAGCATCAAGAATAATGCTGTAAGTTTTATCGTCGTCATCGTAATTTGAAAATTTATAATGAAGAATAGTCTGTCCCGCTTTATTGCGAATATTAATATCAGTCATCGGCTCGTCTAAACTCAATAAATATTTAAGAATCCATGTTTTATTATGAACGTCCTCCATTAGTGTAGATTTTCTATCTACACTAATGCAGTTGTTAATATCAGCCCCTCTCGCCATTAATAACTTGACAATATTAATTCTTTCTTTGACGATAGCATAATAGAGCGGAGTTACACCATTATGTTTCTTGGCGTCAATTTCTGCGTTATTTTCCAGCAAAAATTCCACTAATTCAGTGTTCGATTTTTCAACAGCGTAGTGCAATAGGCAAGAGCCACATTCTGGTTCAGTTACATTCGCATCAAAGCCCTGTTCAATGAGGAACTTTACGATTTCGTTGTGTCCAGAGCGAACGGCCGAAATTAACGAAGATTTTAAATGAGTGTTAGCACCCAGGTGATACAATTTTTTGAACACTTCGGTGTCTCCGTTCATGGCTGCTATATGCACAGGACTTTCATACCCACGAGGTGGACTCTTGTTTACATCGGCTTTTCGATTAATCAAATAGTCTATTAATTCCTCATCACCGTTCCTCACGGCTATGCATAAAAGAGTCGTATGATTACGGATTGGTCGATCCTGGTCAAAAACTATCATGTCAACGTTGGTGTCAGGTTGATTCAATAATTCCTTGACAACTGTTTTATTGATTTCCGTTGCACGAACTTTCGGAATTTTCGTATCTGGAAGCATGTCTGAAGTTTCGGCCGCCATTTCGGTTTCTATAAAAATATGATTATTTGGTTATATTTTTTAGGACACAAGTTAGCTGACATTTACCAATTTTTTGATTTTTTTTTTTTCATAAACCAGGTCGAGAAAATTATTTTAAAAAACTTGCATTTATAATTTTTTTTTCGAGCTTTGAAAAATGAAATTTTCAAAAATAATTTTTTTGCTATAATTTATTTATTATAAAAATTATCAAATATTTCTCAATTTATAGTATTATTATTGTTTAATTAAAAAAAAAATTGTTTTTATTAAACAATAACAATTCAAAATAAAGTAAAAATATTGTAAATATAAAATCATCTGAATGCAAAAATTTGTATATGGTTATAGGCTTCATCATGTTAAAACAGCAATTGAAATTTTTTAGATTTCTCTAAATTAACCTTAGAAGAAAAAAGTTCGTACGGTGAATTAATAAAAAGTTTTATTTAAACGTAGAAAAGATATATTAACAAAAATGTCGGTGAAAAAATATAATCAGTTACTTGAAGTGTAACTGAACTAAAAAAGAAAAAAAAACAAGTTCAACAATTTTTACTTACTGTGTTTTAAAATGAAACAGCCGAACCATTTAAAAATTATTTGATTTTTATTAATGTGAAAAAATTTTTACAATTATTTTGTATAACTAAAAATAGTTTACTTACTAATCAGCATTGGTGTGAAAAATTTCAACATTTTCAGTGGTAAGTTTTTTAATGTTTGCAAGCTTCACAAAATAAAATGTTGACTTTTTGAAAAATTTTATCCAAAAAAAAAGCCAGAAATTAACAATTGTCAACTTAAAATCAACAAAACATTCCTGAGAAAAATTTTATGCCGCGTGACTAACTAGAATACAACACTGAAATTGATTGTAACGTAATACGTAGCAAGAAAACTAAAAATGACGGAAAATATTGGAAAATATGAAGACCAAAAAGTATTATTATATACTGTAATGCCTCTAGATGCATCCAGCAGATGACGCTACCAGCAGTGAAGTGCAAATTTAATTAAATGTAATTTAGATTATATTAAATTATTTTATTAATTCATAATTTAAATAGTGAACACTGTTCAAATTAGAAAGTTTAGGTTCTGTATCGTTGAATATTTATTTTATAGAGTATATTTTGTTTCAAATAAATGTAAGCTATTGTGTATTCGAGTACAAAGGGACATTGTAGTTGAGTTCTGAGTAACCTTAGGTACTTGAGATTCTGCGGAAAAGCCATAAAAGACACGTGTGAGGAAAATTCTATGATCCCTTGTTTCAACGGCTAAATAATAACTAATAACGTAACAAATATCTAACAAAGAATAAGATCGTTAAATAACATATTTTTGTTAAACTTGCTTTAATATAATATTGCAACGAAATATATAAAAATTAAATTAACAATTTATATCCTGTATCCAACCTATAAATAATTATTAATTAATGTTAAAAGAATAAGATTTTATAAAATAATAATATTATTAAATGATATTTATCTCTTACATTAACAATTAAACTATTTCATAGTTTTAATAAATTATAGATTGATAGAAATAGTAATAAGCTTAATCTAATTTGCAAAGTACGAATATTAATCAACTGCAATATATATAATTTATAAATAAATGTATGTAAATATAATAGAAAATATTATATATTAGTGTGAAAATCATTTATATGTAGTAGAAATATGTGTACTTATATATGTACAAGAGTGGATATATGTATGGGAGTTATGGTGGGAGAAGAACGGAGTTTGAAGCTCTCTGGAAAAACTATGTAACGACACTTCTCATCGAGAGCTTAGATTGCTAAGATCACGTCATTGTAAACCTCAATTTTATATTTTGAAGCTTTTTAATATTTTGTCAACTTGAATAATAAATTAAAACCAACTAAATAATTTTGATCAAAATTAAATAACGTCTAAATAGAATTCTTTTATTTAAAATTATTCCTTTCCCGCGCTGAAACCGAGTATTTTAATACTCCCGGGCGAAAGAACTACAGTAAGTAAAGTTTTCAATAAATAAAAATAACATCCCCTAGATGGAAGCATAACAATACTCTTTGATGGAGACTATATATGGTGTATGCTTAGTCTCCATATACTGTTCACACATGTGCAACTCGAGCTGCCGACACTTAAAACTGAATACATAGATGAAGTCTAAAAGTACTTGTTTTTTTTTTTTACCTCGAAAGTACACATTTTTCATTATCTGAGGAGTAATTGTATAATTTTAATTTTACTCATAAAAATTTCTAGAATAATGATACCTGCCTTGAAAAAAAATCAAAAATCGACTTTCTTTAAATAAATCATTATTATGATTATTATCAACCAAATCGTTTTTACTAATAATTTAATATTTAATTTTTATATGCAAATTTAAAAATAATTTAACTAGCATTAACCATTTAAATGAACTATTATTAAGCTTTCCTACAATAATTAGTACTACCATTCCATACAGGATTAATAATATAATAATTTAAATAGTTGTTGGCTAATTTATGGTAATAATTTCTTGATATTTTTTATTAATGTTGGTTATTATTATCAATAATTTTAGTTTGAATGTTTTGCTCAAAATTATTAATTTTGCACAAATTTAATAATTATTGACAGCCGTGGATATTTATTATTTAAAGAATCATAGAGTTAAAACGGACCACTGTTAATTATTACAATAACCACAAATAAGCAACCATTTTTTGTCAAAAGTGAAGGAAAAAAAATTTTAGATACTTATTATTATTAATATTATGATTATTATAATTGAATTAAAAAATAATTTAGTGGATATACATGTAATGTTTCTTTCGTCATTAAAGTGTGTATATAGCAATACAATCCATGTATATTATCTTCTTAAATTAAATAATGCCTTTACTTGAAAAATAATTCAACAACTTGTTATGTTTATTATTATTATTATTGTTATGTACGTTTTCAGTTATAATTTGTCATTAATATTTCACAAAGTCTTTCAAATGGTATATAATTTTTATAGTATTAAATAATTAATATTAATGTGCAAGTGTTCAAATAAATAAAGAAAAAATGCATGATTTCGTTTAATAATTATTTTTTATTTAATTTATTTTTAAATTATATTTACAGTCTTGTTTGAAAATTCTTGCACGTAAAATTACAAAAACCTAATAAAATTATTGTTTTCATGCAAGATTAATTTTTTCAACTCTATATTGGTAAAATAAGACCATAATTCTCTGATAAAAGTCCACGGAAGTTCCAAATCCCATAATATTACTTCAACAAATTTTTCGACTTCTTCCAAGTATGTTATTCTGCGCCGAACCTTTGACAATTTATAAAAAAGCATTCCTCCGTACAAAGGATACGCAGTGTTTAATTTTTCTTCATCGATAACTTGATCCAAGTTCGCAAACTTCAAGCGGATCGCTATAACTTATGAAAACTCATGTGTAAAACGTCAAAAAATGTGATATTACTCACACCGACTTTGTTAATTTTTATTTTTTCGAGCTCTTCCAGACACGTTTCACTCAAATAATCGAAGCCTCTTTCAACACTTCGTCGATTTCGCACACAAACTGGTAAACCGGCTGATATGAATTTGACAATGTGTCGTTTGAGGATGGTTTTTTGGATTATAGTTCTAAGAGACGTTTCACTATCAATAGCAAGTTGACCCTCTGAATCTTGAGCGTTAACGTCAACGCCAGCATCAAGAATAATGCTGTAAGTTTTATCGTCGTCATCGTAATTTGAAAATTTATAATGAAGAATAGTCTCTCCATCTTCATTGCGAATATTAATATCAGTCATCGGCTCGTCTAAACTCAATAAATATTTAAGAATCGATTTTTTATTATGAACTTCGTGCATTAGTGTAGATTCCCTATCAGAGCTCTGAGCGTTGTTAATATCAGCCCCTCTGGCCATTAATAACTTGACAATATTCATTCTGTCGTTGACGATAGCACATGAGAGCGGAGTTTCACCATCATGATCTTTAGCGTCAATTTCCGCATTATTTTCCAGCAAAAATTCCACTAATTCAGTGTTCAAACTAGCAGCAGCGTGATGCAATAGACGAGAGCCACATTTTGGTTCAGTTACATTCACATCGAAGCTCTGTTCAATCATGTACTTTATGATTTCGAAGTGTCCAAAGTGAGCAGCTGTCATTAACGAAGATTTTAAATGAATGTTAGCTCCCAGGTGATACAATTTTTTGAACACTTCGGTGTCTCCGTTTACGGCTGCTATATGCAAAGGATTTTCATACCCACGAGGTGGACTCTTGTTTATATCGGCTTTTCGATTAATCTAATAGTCTATTAATTCCTCATCACCGTTCCTCACGGCTATGCATAAAAGAGTCGTATGATTATGGATTGGTCGATCCTGGTCAAAAACTATCATGTCGACGTTGTTGTCAGGTTGATTCAATAATTCTTTAAAAATTCATCTTTAAAAATCTGGTCGTCATCTTCTTTTCTAAAAAAATATAGTTATTTTATAATATTTTTTAAGACACAAGGCAACGGACATTTGACAATTTTATGATATTTTTTGAATAAACCAAGTCGAGAAAATTATTTTAAAAAACTTGCATTTATAATTTTTGTTTAAACTTCAAAAAATGGAATTTTTAAAAATAATTTTTCGTCGTTTAATTTATTTATTATAAAAATTATTAAATATTTCTCAATTAACAGTATTATTATTGTTTAATTGAAAAAGAATTGTTTGTATTAAATAATAACAATACAAAATAAAGTAAAATATTATAAATATGAAATCATGTGAATGCAAAAATTCGTATGAAATTTTTATATAGTTAATCTGCTTTATTTCAAAACAGTAATTGAAATTTTTTAGATTGTTCTAAATTTACCTTAGAAAAAAAAGTTCGTACGATAAATTAGTAAAAAATTCTATTTAGAAAATATATTAGCAAAAATATCGGTGGAAAAAATATGATTAGTTAATACTTGAAGTGTAACAATACTGGAGAAAGAAAAAGACAGGTCTAACAATTTTTAGTTACTGTGTTTTAAAATGCGACAGCCGAATCATTCAAAAATTATTTAATTTTTATTAATGTGAAAAAATTTTTTAAATTGTCTTGAATAACTAAAAATAGTTTACTTACTCAGAATTCGCGTTAAAAATTTCAAAATTTTCAGTGGTAATTTATTTAATGTATCCAAACTTGACAAAAAAAAAATGATGACTTTCTGAAAAATTTTATTTAAAAAAAAGTCAGAAATAAACAATTGTTAACTTAAATCCAACAAAATACCATTTTTATGCCACGTGGATAACTAGAATACAACGCTGGAATTGAATATGTAGCGAAACAAGCGGCAAGAAAACTGAAAATTATGGAAAATATGGAGACTATATATGGTGTATAGTCTCCATACTGTGCACTAATGTGCAATTCAAGTTGGCAAAATTTAAAACTGACTACTTAGATGGAGCCTACAGATACTTTTTTTTTTTATCTCGAAAGTACACATTTTTTATTATCTGAGGAGTAATTGTGTAATTTTAATTTTACCCATAAAAATTTCTAGAGTGATACCTGCCTTAAAAAAAAATCAAAAATCGACTTTCTTTAAATAAATCGTTGTTATAATAAACCAAATCGTTTTGACTAATAATTTAATACGTACTTAATTTATTATTATTATTATTATTATTATTATTATTATTATTATTATTGTTATGTACGTTTTCAGGCATAATTTGTTATTAATATTTAACAAAGTTTTTCAAATGGTATGTGATTTTTATAGTATTAAATAATTAATATTAATGTGCAAGTGTTCGAGTAAATAAAAAAAAAATGCATGATTTCGTTAAATAATTATTTTTGATTTAATTTATTTTAAAATTATATTTACAATCTTGTTTAAAAATTTTTATTCGTAAAATTAAAAAAACCTAATAAAATTATTATTTTCATGCAAGATTAATTTCTTCAACTCTATATTTGTAAAATAAGACCATAATTCTCTAGTAAAAGTCGCCGGAAGTCCTAAATCCCATAACAATCCTTCAAAAAATTCTTCGACTTCTTCCAAGTACTTTATTCTTCGCAGAACCTTGGACAACTTATAAAACAGCATTCCTCCATACAACGGATACGCCGTGTTTAATTTTTCTTCATTGATAACTTGATCCAAGCCCGCAAACTTCAAGCGGATCGCTAAATAATGAAAACTCATGTGTAAAACGTCAAAAAATGTGATATTAGTCACACCGACTTTATTAATTTTTATTTTTTCGAGCTCTTCCAGACACGTTTTTCTCAAATCATCGAAGCCTCTTTCAACAGCTAGTCGATTTCCCTCACAAACTGTTAACCCGGCTGATATTAACTTGATGATGTGCCGTTTAGTGATGGTATGATTGTTAGTATCACTAAAAGACGCGTTACAATTAACAGCAAGTTGACCCTCTGAATCTTGAGTGTTAACGTCAACGCCAGCATCAAGAATAATGCTGCAACTTTCATCGGAGGTATAATTTATATTGTGGTTTAATAATTTATGATGAAGAATAGTCTGTCCCGCTTTGTTGAGAATATTGACATCATTCACCAGCTCGTCTAAACTCAGTAAATATTTAAGACTCGATTTTTTAGAATGAACTTCGTGCATTAGCGTAGATTTGCTAGTAGAGCTTTGAGCGTTGTTAATATCAGCTCCTCTCGCCATTAATAACTTGACATGGTTGAATTCCTTCATTGAAGATAGCAGAATAGAGCGGAGTTATACCATCATGTTGCTTACAGTCAATTTCCGCATTATTTTCCAGCAACAATTCCACTAATTCAGTTCTTGAACTAGCAACAGCGTGGTGCAATAGATGAAAGCCACGTTCTGGTTCGGTAATATTCACATCGAAGCCCTGTTCAATGAGGAACTTTATAATTCCGTAGCGTCCACTGACAGCGGCTAGCAGTCACATTAACGAATCTTTAGGAGATGATAAATCAATATTAGCACCCAGGTGATACAATTTTTTGAACAGTTTGGTGTTTCCTTTTACGACTGCTGTAAACAAAGGACTTTGATTACCATAAGGTGAATTATAATTTACATCTGCTTTTCGATGAATCAAATAGTCTATTAATTCCTCGTCACTGTTCTGCACGGCCATGCATAAAAGAGTAGTATAATTGGAAAATGGTAGATCCAGGTCACTAACTATCATGTTGACTTTGTTGTCAGGTTGATTCAAAAATTCCTCGACAACTGTTACATTGATATCTTTTGAGCGAATTTTCGGAATTGTCTTACTCGAAAACATGTTTGAAGTTTCAGCCGCCATTTCGTTTTCTATAAAAATATAGTTATTTTGCAATATTTTTTATGACACAAGTTAATAAACATTTGATAATTTTATGATTTTTTTTTTAATAAACCAGGTCAAGAAAATTATTTTTAAAAACTTGTATTTATACTTTTTTTTCGAGCTTCGAAAAATGGAATTTTTGAAAATAATTTTTCTCGCTATAATTTATTTACTATAAAAATTATCAAATATTTCTCAATTATAGTATTATTATTCTTGAATTAAAAATAATTGTTTGTATTAAATAATAACTATACAAAATAAAGTAAAATATTATAAAGACGAAATTATGTGAATGCGAAAAATCGTATGAAATTTTTATGTTCCCACACTGCTTCATTTCAAAGCAGTAATTGAAATTTTTTAGATTTTTTGAAATTTACATTAGACAAAAAAAGGTCATACGTAAATAAATAAAAAATTTTATTTAGGTAGAAGATATATTAACGAAAATATCGGTAAAAAAATATGATTTCTTACTTGCAGTGCAAAAAAATGTAATAGTACTAGAAAAAAAAAAAAAAAAAAAAAACAGGTCTAACAATTTTTAAATACTGTGTTTAATTAAATATAATTGTTTGTACTAAATAAAAACTATACAAGATAAAGTAAAATATGAATGTAAAATCATGTGAATATGAAAAAACTTATAAAATTTTTAAATTGTTAGGCTGCTTCATTTCCAAACAGTTATTGAAATTTTTTTAATTTATTTTATAGAATAAAAAAGTCCACTGTGGAAATTAATAAAAAATTTTATTTAGGCATCGAAGATATATTTACAAAAATATAGGTAAAAACTATGATTATAGTTCATTTAAGTAAGGTAAAAGTCCCAATAGATGATCATGTACCAGTATATGATCACTCCGTGTATTTGTATACCTATATTTGTGAATATAGATGGGGCATTCCATGCCAAATCGACCACTTTTGACACCGACCCTTTTCGATTTTTCTGAAATTTTGGTATCTTTCTCTACCCTATTGAAAACAATTTTCAGAATTTTTTCAAATTTTTTTACCCAACCAAAAAAAAGTTACGAGTTATTACAAAAAAACAGCTTTTTTTTTGTTAAATAACCATAACTTTTTTGAAAATTGACTTTTTGGGATGTTTTTTTTTTAAAAATTTTTGTCTTTAAATGTACTTTAAAAAAAAAAAAATAAAAATAATAATTCGAATTCATATTCAATGTTTTTTTTTTAACTTTTTGGAAAAAAAAAACGAAAATTTCGGGATGATTGACATTTTTGATTTTCGATTTTTCTTTTTTATAAAAAAACTTCAGTATTTTTTGTAAATTCTCTGAAATTTTCAGAGTGGTAAAATTTTTCTTTCTATTTTTTTTCAGAGTGGTATAACGAAAAACAAACATTTAAAAAAAAATTTTTTTCTTCATTAAAAAAAAAAATAGAAAGAAAAAGTTTACCACTCTGAAAATTTCAGGGAATTTGAAAAAAATACTGAAGTTTTTTATAAAAAAGAAAAATCGAAAATCAAAAATCAAAAATCAATCATCCCGAAATTTTCGTTTTTTCCCAAAAAGTTAAAAAAAAAAAACATTGAATATGAATCCGAATTATTATTTTTATTTTTTTTTTAAAGTACATTTAAAGACAAAAATTTAAAAAAAAAAAACATCCCAAAAAGTCAATTTTCAAAAAAGTTATGATTATTTAACAAAAAAAAAAA